GGGCTGCGAGAACGTTTGCTACGACGCTTTCGCCCCGCTCTCCCACGTTCGCTTTTGGGTCTTCCAGATCATCCTCGTCTCCACTCCCTCGGTGATGTACCTGGCCTACGCCATTCACAAAATCGCCCGGATGGTGGAGCACGGCGAAACGGAAAGGAAGTTCCGAAGCAAGCCCTTCCCCATGCGCTGGAAACAGCACCGGGGCTTGGAAGAGGCCGAGGACGACCACGAAGAGGACCCGATGATGTACCCGGAGATCGAGCTGGAGAGCGAGAACAAGGAAAACCCGCCTCCGACCAAAGTGAAACACGACGGCAGGAGGCGCATCCGAGAGGACGGCCTCATGAAGATTTATATACTGCAACTCCTGAGCAGGACTGTTTTTGAAATCGGCTTCCTGGTCGGCCAGTATTTCCTCTACGGGTTCGAGGTGAGCCCGAGATTCCTCTGCAGCCGGAAGCCCTGCCCACACACGATAGACTGCTTCATTTCGCGGCCTACGGAAAAAACCATCTTCCTGCTCATCATGTACGGCGTGAGCTGCCTGTGTTTACTTCTGAACGTGTGGGAAATGCTCCACTTGGGGTTCGGCACCATCCGGGACACGCTGAACAATAAGCAGAAAGAGCTGGAGGACTCGGGGACGTACAACTACCCGTTCACTTGGAACACGCCGTCCGCGCCTCCGGGCTACAACATCGCGGTGAAGCCCGACCAGATCCAGTACACGGAACTGTCCAACGCCAAAATGGCATACAAGCAGAACAAGGCGAACATCGCCCAAGAGCAGCAATACGGCAGCAACGAGGAGAACATCCCCACTGAGCTGGAGACCCTCCAGCAGGAAATCAAAGTCGCCCAGGAACGCTTAGACCTCGCCATCCAAGCCTACAACAACCAGAACAACCCGACCTGCTCCAAGGAGAAGAAGCCAAAGGCCAGCTCAAATAAAAGCAGCGGCAGCAGCAAGTCAGGGGATGGGAAAACCTCGGTCTGGATTTGACGCTGCCCCGCCTGGGAATTAATGCTGTGCTGCTTACGCTGACCGGCAGACTCGCTGCCTAAGGAATTCCCAAAAATAAAATGTTTGGCTTTGTTTAAGTTCAGGGGTGTTTGGGGCTGCCAAAGGACACTCTCCAAAGGGGTGGGGGCGGGGGAGAGGAGAAGCGTTTGTGCTCACATTCCACTGTTTCCAGAACATTTATTTCTTGTTTCTTCCAGGTCAGGAGAAGACCCGGGTTTATTTTTTTATTTTTTAAAAACCCAATCATTCTTGTTGGAACGGTTTACACTGTGTGTACAGCATTATGGTACATTTTATTATGCACAATTTTTGGTATTTGTACATTGGATATCTCAGTTATACTTTTTATATTAAAAGGAAACAAAGTTGGTAATTCTGGGTTGTTTTGTAAGGTGTTTGTTTTCTCCCCTTAGGCCTGCAGATCTTAAAAAAAAAAAATCACCTTAGATTTTCCTGAATTTTGACCATGAGGTGCTTCTCCCCCCCCCCCCCCGCCAAAAAAAGTTAGAGAAGCTCATGAACAGGGATGGGAATATTGGAATTTTTTTTAAGTGTCAGTAGTGTGATACCTAGCACAATTCTTCAGCAACTGCTTTACTAAGAGTGAGGGAGGGATTGTGACTTGGCAGCAATAAGAAAACTTTATACCACCCATGTATTTAGCCCTTGCCTGGAGTGTCACAATCTGGATATTTAGCTTATCATTTCTTTAACTTCTGATGTGTGCTTATTTTTTCTACACTAGTTTTTCAAACATGGAAGGAACTGAAATTGTAGAGAAGTGACAGCTTTTCAGAGAATTAAAGGGGGTAGGCAATGAAGCTTTCTAATATAATTCTCCACAGAATTGTGGAGTTGGGACTCTGAAGATCTTCTCGTTCAAACCCTTGCGATGCAGGAATAGCGTAGCTGTCCCATAAGGGAATCAAACCTGTATTATCAGCACCCACTAACTAACCAACTCCAGGCCGTAATGCCTTCATCACTGGACGAAGAGATTTTTGTGAGCTTTTGGAAGCACTGTGAGAACCTGAAATAGCTGCTTAAACCAGAGAACCATAGTCATTTGGGCAGAATGCATGCACGTGGAAATTTGGGAGGCAAGTATAGCAAAATCATTTCGCCTTCAAATCTCCGAAAAAGGATCCTTTGCATACAGCCTTGTTTGAAGGCTTCTTCATTGTTGCTAAATGACAGGGCTGTTATGATTAAATGGCCTCCCATTTTTCTCATTGCTCAGAGCAACATGAATTCTAGGGGCGGGGGGGGGGGAGATGTGTTCAGAGTTTGTTTTGCTCAAGAGACCAGTCGGATTTTGGCATTTGTCTTAGGTTTATAATTAGACAACAGAGAAGGCAATGTTTAGTGCCTTCGGTGATGCCTTTTTGGCAAGGGCAAGGGAGAACAGAGATGAGAGGTTCATGTGCTGTGTACACTACTTTCAACTAATAATGTATTACGAATCCAGGGCCGTGCTGTTCTGTTCTCCTCCCTGTCTTCTGGTGGTATGGGGCTATTCTTCGCGGAACTACTATTATGTTTTCTTCCCAAGGTATGGAAGTCAGGGGTGCCCAGGCTGAAAAACCTACTTGGATGTATTCCGAAACGTCCGGCTTTCCATCTCTCTCTCTCTCAACCCCCCCCCCCAAAAAAAAAACCCCTCAAGGCAACTCACAGTACGCAAATCTAAAATTTTGGTGGGGGGATAGGATTGGCTCCAGAGTTAGTCATGCTTAGGGTAGATCCTTTGAAATCACAAGACTTGAGTTAGTCGTCATGACTACTCTTAAGCATGGTCTCCAACCCCTATAAACTACATTCTGGAAGTTCGGATCCATTACTTCACAGCTTCCTTGGAAATACCCTGCACTGCCTTTTAAAGGCTTCTAAAGGATAGGACTTGGATGTATAACAGAGAATAATTGAGTACAGTGGAACCTTGGGTTGCGGACGTAATCCGTGATGGAGGCACACCCGCAGCGTTCGCATCCTGAAGCGCTGCGTCTGCGCCGGCACGATTCGGTGCTTCTGCACATAGTGCGATTTAGCGCTTCTGCGCATTTGCGAGCGGTGAAATCCGGAAGTAACACGTTCCGTTACTTTCTGGTTTCCCGCGGTCTGTAAGCCGAAAACACGTAACCTGAAGTGTCTGTAACATGAGATATGACTCTTTGTGAGTCAGTGACTTCTCTGAAGATCTTAGTAAAGTAGCCGACTTGAATGCAAAAGAGACTGTCCTGAAAGTTTTAAGAAGATAGTCATAATCTTTACCAACCTTTCTGGACCAACTTTAGATAAATACACCGTTCTGATTTTTAAAAGGCAGCACTTATCCATTTGTTGTTGTTGTTGTTACAACCTTGAAGAGAGCTGGAAAAACATGCTGGGTTTCTAAGTTCCCCTGAGGATGGTTTCTGTCCGCGATTGCAGTTGCCAGGAGTTTGAAAAACATTATCTGTGGATATCTTCATTAACCCATCTGAGCTGAAGTAAGTTGGCTTATCTGAGTTTTCCTTGACTCCTCGATAGGAAATGGCTCTTGAGATGTAAGGTTATCAGGTGCCTTAAAAGCTGCAATTGGGAGGGGGCAGGTGAAAGAGGAGCAGGAGCGAGGAGCCTGTAAATTGTCCATCTCCCTTTTGTGACCCTTCTCTAGACGTAGATGCAGAATGAGACCTGACCAGCGGTGCAGATGGGAAGCCTGCCAACAGTGGCACCAGGAAGAGTATAAATGGGTGCATGTTTCCATTTTTCCTTGAAAAATGGGTGGCAACTGCACAGGCAGACCCATCTATCTTGCTTTGAGGTGCCAAGAATTGCCTTTCCTGGCGTGGATGCTGATATGTCCAGTGCTTGCCTTCAGATTATGGAAACAAGTCTTGGAATCTACCTTTTTGCCCAGATGTATTGGCACCCAGCGCAAGATATGGGTGTGTGTAACAGCTGTTGTGTGTGCACAGCCCATTTGCACAGGCAAAGCGATGGGTGGAACGGGGCACATCCCTTGACGAGCTGAAAACAGCAGCTTTCAAAATGTTCTCTGAACAACCCACAAGGACCAGTAAAGCAAAGAGTTGGAAAGACAACTTGCCCATTATTCCCAGTATGCATCGGGATGTGGGTGTTTGCATGCTAGAGTGTGCCCGCAGTCTCCCAGAAGGCCTGGCCTATGCCCTGCTTGGTTTGTTGTACGACAAGCTGCAGAATCTTCTGCGACGCACTGTGGTTGCTGGTGTCCAATGGTAGGGTGGATACCTGGGAGGCCAACAGTAGGGGGAGGCAGAGCGAACGGCAGGCAGGTCCCACCCCCTGACCAGTTGTAAGAAGGCAGGGGCAGCCTGGCTGAGGGCAGGGAGGTTGGTGGGGCAGTGCCTCCTTCGCCTCCACTGATGATGCAGAGAAGTTACTTGGCAGGAAGGGAATCCCTAAAGGCAGCAAGTTGGAAAACTGCTGTTGCATGGAAGGGCAACATGACCACGTACAGTGGTACCTCTGGATGCAAATGGGATCCGTTCTGGAGCTCCGTTTGCATCCTGAAGCGAACGCAACCCGCATCTGTGCGGGTCGTGATTTGCCGTTTCCGCGCATGCGCGTGACGTCATTTTGAGCGTCTGCGCATGTGCGAGCTGCGAACCCGGAAGTAACCTGAAAACTCTCAACCTGAAGCATATTTAACCCAAGGTATGGGACGCGGGTGGCGCTGTGGGTTAAACCACAGAGCCTAGGGCTTGCCGATCAGAAGGTCAGCAGTTTGAATCCCCGGGACGGGGTGAGCTCCCGTTGCTCGGTCCCTGCTCCTGCCAACCTAGCAGTTCGAAAACACGTCAAAGTGCAAGTATATAAATAGGGGGAAGGTAAACAGCGTTTCCGTGCGCTGCTCTGATTCGCCAGAAGCGGCTTAGTCATGCTGGCCACATGACCTGGAAGCTGTACGCCGGTTCCCTCGGCCAATAAAGCGAGATGAGCGCCGCAACCTCAGAGTCGGCCACGACTGGACCTAATGGTCAGGGGTCCCTTTACCTTTTTATGACTGTAGTTGCTTGGGCTTGCATCTGCTTGCTTCTCTGCGACAATCATTTGCATTCCTTTGCACTTTGCGCAGGAAAAGAGACAAACTTTTGCTGCCAGCAGTTAAACTTCTCCCCCCAAATGCAAAGTGACTTGAGCTCCAAATCCTTGTTTCCATAGCTGTTTCATATTCATTTTAGCTGCAAGAAGGAGAGTTCATCTTACTTTGAAATGGAGCATGTGTGGCTTCCAGTGAAGTGGATGTTTCTTTTATGCCGACGAGCCGTCACACGGCAAGTTCTCAAAACCTCTTCATTGGGGAGGAAGAGGACTAGATGAATTTTTCTATTGAAGCCGGGGTTTTGCCCTGGAGCTCCTTGTCATTGTCGGCTTAGGAAACTGTCAAGCAACAGTGTTCGATTGTGTCCCTAAGCATGTGCAGAATACATTTCCCCTTGCTGCTGAATAACTATAGCTTTTCCTCAAGTTTAATATTATGGGACAGGGTAGTAGTATGTGGCTTCCAGAAAAGGCCTGGGAATAAAATACGCCTAATACTTGCTTTTCTTTTGTTGGCAGGCTGTGAGTTTTTGCAGTGCATTCAGTTCCGGGTATTGAACACAGATGCAATAACTCCTGCGACATAGTAAGCCGCTTGCTATTGGCTAGAGGTACAAGATGCATAGGAATCTGATAAATTTGCATGCTTCCGTTTCATGATGAATTTTTCAGAAGCCACTCTTGTGGTTGTGGAGCTGGAGAGGCTGCTCTGAGGACAATGAGAGAGCCCACATCCTCAGGCATGGCCAGTGCAGAAGTGGGTGCTAGGGCTTCCTGTCAACTTGCAAATAAATCCAGAAAAGTTACTAGTCCTCAGCATTTTATTTTATTTTTAAAAAACAAACCATTGGCTATATATACTATTACCAGTCACTGATGCCCTACAGCGGAAAAAAGGGAGTCAAATTTTGATTTTTAAAAATAGAAGCCTCCTTCCTTGTCACAAGCAAGTTTAAAGACTTGTGTTAAATATAATTTTTATACCACATAACACCTGTAAACATTTCAAGTGTTCCGTGTGTTTCATGTGCAGTATCTGGATGTTTTAATGCTTGCAACAGCCTTGAGAGGTAAGTTATTCTCCCCTATTTTGCAGATGGAAGGGGCAGGATGAAGCATGCAAGAAAGTAGCTTTGCCTAAGGCCACCCTAATGAGTTCCTGGCAGAGGCGAGATTCGAACCTGGAACTCCCCGATTTGCAACTTCCTCTTCCAGCCATTACACTACTCCAACTCATTTTACTTTTACGTCATGCGATGCAGACTTGCACTCTTTATCCTGAGGCTTTCTGCATGTGCTCTAAAAACACTCATTTTATCAATCACTTTCATTCCTTCCAGGGCTGAGTGGGCATTCTGCAAACCATGTTCCAAAGCTTAGGGAGCCCCGTGCTCACATTTAAACCCTGGAAATATACAGATGTGTTGTGCTTTTATGACGGAAAAACGGAAGGTCAATGTGATGCTAACAGAAAGGCATTCGAGACGGAAGGGGGGATATTTGCTGGTCGGAAGCCAAAACTTGCAGGCGTCGGGAGACGGTAAGTAATGCAAACCAGCAGGGTTGGAGAGCAGTTTGTGGTGCTCTTGGGTTTGCAACAGCTCCCAGCATCAGAAGCACATAGTAGTAAGGGACAAATGCAGAACAGAAAGGGATTTTGGTAGCTTGGCTTTAAAAAAACAAACCAATACCAAACTGTTCAGCATAACCAAAAGCCCCTTAAAAGGTTTTTCAGGAACACAAGACTGTTTGGTACAGAAATCTCAGCACCGGGTTTTTATAATTAACAGGGCTAGGATTGCCTTCTGTGTATTAATTTCAAAGGCATTTTGCAAATTGCAATGAAGATATGGAAGATCACATTGTCTTCCATTCAGACACTTGAGACCAAAACCCTGGGTTTGTTCCCATCCCCTTCTCAATCTGTTGGCGTTGCCACGCGAGTCCAAAAGTAAGTGAAACCTTTTTGTTCCGTCAGCTGACTGGGAACACTCACTTTCTGAGGCTTAGGAAGTTAAATCCTTCCACTTCCTGCATAAGGAACCTTTGCCACTTCCAAATACCTTATCCTCGCTGCAGAAGACTTCCAACATTTTCTGCCATTTTAGGAGAATAAGTTGGTGGTTCCTTATTGGTAATACTGGGAACAGGCAAGAGAAATTAGGGAGAATCGCCATCTTTACAATGGTCCTTACATCTAGCCAGCAAATATTTAAATTCCAGGAACATGACTCAACACCCAGAATTCCTTCAGGGAACTTGTAAACCTGAATATTCAAAGCTATTTATTTTCAATGTAAAACATTCTGAAGGTGCCTTTGCCAGATCATGGGGGATATTGAGGCACCTTATCTCAGACTTAATGTCATCAGGTCCTAGATTTGCAATGTTTTCAAACTCTTGCTAGTATAGTCTTCTGCCAGGTTGGAAAGAATCAGTAAGATGTCATCCACTAATAAATGTATTGTGTGTTTGTTAATGTGTCTAAAGAATACTGAAAATCAATGTACAGTGGTACCTCTGGTTACATACTTAATTCGTTCTGTTCTTAACCTGAAGCACCACTTAAGCTAATGGGGCCTCCTGCTGCCTCCGCACAGTCAGAGCATGATTTCTGTTCTCATCCTGAAGCAAAGTTCTTAACCTGAGGTACTATTTCTGGGTTAGCGGAGTCTGTAACTTCAAGCGTATGTAACCCGAGGTACTGTATTCTTGTGGCTGTTCAGAAGGAATTAAAGTTTGTGTGAAGTAGGTCTGTTTCTGACAAAAGGATGGGACAAGGGAATTAGATTGGTTCACTGCTTTGTTATAGTTTTTGTGGTTTTAAAGGTTCATCGTTTTCAGCTGTTTCCAGGGCACTTTTATAAATAGCAAGTGGCAGATTCTGAAATTAAAACATAGCACGATAACAGGGTTGTACAGATCTCTGTAGCATGTAATCGGGTAATCCAGATCTTTTCCCCTGCCATCTTCAGTTGTCTGACTATCCGTGTCTCGTCTTCTAAGCTGCAAGCATCGTATTGTACGTGGGAAATTTTCTTTCTCTTAACAGCAGCTTCAGAAAGGCCGGTCTCTGTGTCCCTCATCACCCCTTATCTTCAGAACCGTTTTGCAAAGTCAGCTCAATCCCTGGGCCAAAGATGAAGGGCTGAAGGGGATAGAGAAAAGAGAGGAAGATCATTGTGTCAATAAGGAAGTATGATGGACCCTTTGGAAGATCAGAAGGACACATTGACAGTGTGGGGTAAAGATGGGATGAAACATTTTAATAATAATTAATAATAATAAATTTTTATACCCCGCCCTTCCCGGTTCAAAAACCGGGCTCAGGGCGGCTAACAGCAAATTTAAAACACTTTAAAACACTTAATTATAAAAGCAGCATAAAATACAGTATAAAAACATGAATAAAATAAAAATCAAAAACCAATTAGATAATCACCAGGGCGCTCCAGAGGCTTTGCGTTGCTTTCACTGAAGCCTGGAGAGCTCTCGCTCTTCAGGCTTCAGGGATAGCTGCCTGAAGCCTTCAGAGTGCAGCACGAGTTCCCACTGCGCTCCGGAGGCTTCAGGGTTGCTTTTGCTGAAGCCGGGAGAGCAAGACTCTCCTGGCTTCAGCAGAGAGGGAGAGCTGCACAGCGCCTCTTCAGCGAAGCGGGAGGAGAAATGGAAGGGGTTCCATTTCTCTTGCCGCTTCTCTGAAGGGGCGCTGAGCAGAGAGGGGGAGATTTCCCCCCCTTGTTCTTCTCCTCTAAAACAAGGTGTGTCCTATGGTCGGGTGTGTCCTATAGAGCGAAAAATACGGTATTTCAAAACACTGCAGCTGGTCAGTTTTGCTGCTGTTTTTCCAGTATTCAGATTTCTCTCCCACCCCCCTCAAAATATAGTGATGGAGGAATGTAACGAAGTGACCTGCACTTGCTTTTCAGGAGAGGCAAAACAGGAAAGCCCAGGCTAAAAGCACACGCAGATGGCCACAACCGAGAGGTAAGCCGGAAAACCTTCCATTTGAGGACTTGCCTGGGCCTCCTAGGCAACCAAGAATTCTGTGGCTGCCAGGGAGCAGCTTGCATATTTAGAAAGATGTGTGTGTGCACCCTGACCTGCAGGGAATATAAGAATGTATATATTATATAGGTGGGGAGGGTTACCAGGAGGAGTGAAGAACCCTCTTGTAACCGCAGCGTGATTTTCTCTTTATCTTCAGTTAGCTTTTTTCTGATGGGCCACTGCTCAGGCTGGCTTCCTGTTTCTGGTCCTTAGTCTGAGATGCTCTATTGGGAAAAGGGACAAGGCACACTATTATTTTTATTAGATTTGGGGGGCGCTGAACCAGTTCTAAGCAGGTTTCCCATTTGCATCCAGACGGCAACTCACTACAGCTTGAAATTAAAAATAAATAGTGTTGAAACTATTGGTTAATGACTCGGTGCACTAAGGCCACATAACAAATCATCTTGCTTTGGTACCAACCCATTTTCTTTCTGTCATTCTATTTTAATTTACTGCTATAAATCTCCAGGTAAGTTTACCTCACTCTATTTTTAGAAAGGGGAAAGCGCTACAAAGAGGTGAGAAGTCCCATTGGGGACACCTGATTACTGCCTCTTTAGATGCCTTGTGATGGAATACAGACATGACCACAGAATTTATTTTACTTGTCAGTTTTGTGTCTTGATTTTTTCCCATAGTAGTACCTTTAGCTCACCACAGGAGGTCAGACAAAAGCAAGCAGCTGCTGGAGAATTTGAGGGTGTCTCCTTGCAGGCTGATGTTTTCTGCAGCAATAGGAGCAGAATAAAGGACCTTTAGTGCGAAGATAGGGAAGAAATGCTCCTTATGGTGTTGAATGGTTTCTTTAAATGTAAAGGTTCGTCATTGTTCCACCTGATGTGTATGTCTTTAAGGGGCCAGAGCAAGGGCCAGAGCAAGATAATGAGACCCAGCTTTACAGCTGTGAAACATAGCAGGTGCTGCTGAGTTGTATTGATTAAGCTGTGTCAGCAATTGGGTGTAGTATATAAGGAGCAGCACCTAGCTCTCCCATTACCCTGGGGGATGGGTTGGTGGTTGGGTCATGTTTGTTTGTTAATATATTTAGTGTAAATGGAGTTTTTGTTTTTCTTAATAAAACCTTTAAGTACTTTTTGAGTCCCTTTTTAATGCATGGTCTCCCCAGCAAGCTCTCTGCAGCGTTACTATACTGCAAAAAGCCAACATCTTTATCCTGTCAGTAATTGCCATATGGTCGCCATCTTCAAATATCTCAGGGGGTGTCCCATGGAAGAAGGAACAAGCTTGTTTTGTCCAGCTCTGGAGGGGAAGGACTTGAACCAATGGCTTCACGTTACAGGAAAGGAGATTCCGACTAAACATCAGGGAAAACACTTCCTTTTCGACAAAGGATCGATTTCCCTCTGGAGTTTGTGGACTCTCCTTCCTTGGAGGTTTTTAAGCAGAGGTTGGATGGCCATCTGGATGCTTTGGCTAAGATTCCTGTATTGCAGAGGATGCGGGTGGCGCTGTGGTCTAAACCAGAGAGCCTAGGGCTTGCCGATCAGAAGGTCGGTAGTTTGAATCCCCGCGACGGGGTGAGCTCCCGTTGCTCGGTCCCTGCTCCTGCCAACCCAGCAGTTCGAAAGCACGAAGCACAAGTAGATAAATAGGTACCACTCAGGCGGGAAGGTAAATGGCGTTTCCGTGCGCTGCTCTGGTTTGCCAGAAGCGGCTTAGTCATGCTGGCCACATGACCCAGAAACTGTACGCCGGCTCCCTCGGCCAATAAAGCAAGGTGAGCGCCGCAACCCCAGAGTCGTCCGTGACTGGACCTAATGGGTCCCTTTACCTGCATTGCAGGGGGTCAGACCAGATGACCCCTGAGCTCCCTTCCAACTCTACAATGCTAGGATGATTCAACATGTTTGGATGCACTTAAAAATGAGGTGTTAAGAATTCTGCTAGTGCACTGCTCCTGCCTAAGCTGGTGGAGAGAGGCAGTCAGTACTGGGTGCAGGCTAATGCTTTTGGGGGTCTTCGCATCCATCCTCAAGAGGCCCAGGTCTGGCCTTCACGGCCATCTTCTACATGGACCCCTCCCCATCTCACCTAACAGGTCATAATGTCTGGGAGGCAAGCTGTGCGCAGGGGTGGGAGAACTGTGCCCGTTCAGATACCATTGTACTGCCAGTTCCCATCGGCTCATCCAGCGTAGCTGATGGGACAGGGATGATGGGCCAAGCTTATTGGCATTCTACATCCTTTTTAACTTTTCCTTTCTCTTTTGACTCATGCTTCTTTCAGAATTAAAGGATCTGGAAATTGTAGATGGGCTTAACCTCGGTGGGAGTAAATTACCTTGCACAAGAATGGTAAGTTTATAAAAAATTGAAACAAAAAACGTAGCGGCACTTCGAAGGGGTGTTAATTTTCTTAGTGGGCCTTTTTTGATTGGGTGGGTGGAGTGGAAAGACACCTCAAAAGGCTGGTAGTGCCTTAAAGACTAGTCAATTTAATTATGGCATCCATAAATTCTTCGGTTGCATGGAATGTTATCATTAAGTTTAGATAGATCTATCTATCTTATCTAGGACGCGGGTGGCGCTGTGGGTTAAAGCCTCAGCGCCTAGGACTTGCCGATCGAAAGGTCGGCGGTTCGAATCCCCGCGGCGGGGTGCGCTCCCATTGTTCGGTCCCAGTGCCTGCCAACCTAGCAGTTCGAAAGCACCCTCGGGTGCAAGTAGATAAATAGGGACCGCTTACTAGCGGGAAGGTAAACGGCGTTTCCGTGTGCGGCTCTGGCTCGCCAGAGCAGCGATTTCACGCTGGCCACGTGACCCGGAAGTGTCTGCGGACAGCGCTGGCCCCCGGCCTCTTAAGTGAGATGGGCGCACAACCCTAGAGTCTGTCAAGACTGGCCCGTACGGGCAGGGGTACCTTTACCTTTATCTATCTTATCTATCTATCTATCTATTTGTAGATATGGATGGTTGGATGAATACCTGGTTGGGCAGAATCGTGAAAGCAAGGTCAGAAAAGTACAGCGTTGTGATTATCATGTCCAGTTTATAATGGCCAGTCGGAACAATCAGGAACTGCTAACACAGACATCCTGGCGCCGGTAATCCAATTAATGGGGTACTTGTGGGATTATTGCACGCTTCCAGCCCATTTTTGCTTTGGGTGGAGAGTTGGGGCAGCGACTTGACCTGTGTAGTGCGGAGGGTGTGGTTCATCCCTCACTCCATGTGTCTTGTGTAGAGATACCAAAATAGAGGCTATAGAGCAGGCGCCCCCAAACTCGGCCCTCCAGCTGTTTTGGGACTACAACTCCCATCATCCCTAGCTAACAGGACCAATGGTCAGGGATGGTGGAATTGTAGTCCCAAACCAGCTGGAGGGCCGAGTTTGGGGGTGCCTGCTATAGAGAGAGAGTCCTACAGGTCTCTTGGTCAGTAGGTGCTGGACTCAGCAGAGCGAGTGGCCTGGCAGCCTCCAAGGATGCTAGGGTCATGGCAGGGGTGGGGGGATCCTGGGCTTTTAACCCCAGGATACAAGTAGAAGAAATCCTCCTTACCTTTTTCAAGATTACGAAGCTTGTCTTCTCGCAAGAGCCGCTCTTAAAAAAAAATAAGTAGAACTCTTCTTTCACCTACCTAAATATCCGACTTAAGCTGCCTCAACTCCCAATCCTACCCCTAGCTATCTAATAAAACATGAAATACGAAGGTATAAAGCTACAAGATAAATATTAAATAGAAAAAAAATATAGGTAAAAAAAATATAAGTAGCAGAGCAAACCAAAACACAAAACCTCCACTCCTGCATGTACAAACTCGTTCTCTCATAATCAAGATTTACTCCCTCCGCATTCCCACCCTGGACACCTCTGGTTGGTGCCTTTTAAAGCAGCCGCAAAAGATGTCATAAAGGTGGGCAGGTCACTGTTACCTTGACAACCCACCTGCTTTGGCACTCTTCTTGAATTCTGCTTGCTGAAGCATCCCTCTTCACTTTCGTAGCTCCATTTTTCACGAATCAAGATTCCTTCAGCACCATTCCCAACCTCCTCCTAAATACAGTAGGTGACTCACACCTCACCGGTTTAGAGGTGGCTAGAGCACAGGACTAAGACAGCCCACTTTGCAATATGGAAGGCTCCAGGTTCAATCCCTGGCGTCGTAGCTACGGAAACCTCCCCAACTTTAAAATTAATTGAATTTTAATATTAACGCACAGTAATAAAACGAGGACAAAATATGGATACAAAAGGATGAGGAAAAGAGAAGGGAAAGTAGAGAAAATATTGTGAGGTGTCTGCTCTTTGTCATTCCAGAAATGTAGAACCATTGACCATCTTTTGAGAAATACTGTTTTTCTGTTATATGTTGCCTTTATTTGCAAGACCGTTTCCCAAGTTTTTCTTTGGTCGTTCTGCAAATGTTTGGGGGATTTTTACATTCCCAAGACTGAACAGTATCAAAGTTGGTCAGTTTCTGTCAGCTGAAAATCAACATTTGTAAGCTCAAACTGGAACATTGCAAGGATTGGTTTTAGGGTTTTTCAGTAATCACTAGAGAAGGGAGGTTTCTTATAGGCAGATGGTGGAAAACGGCATTGGTGAACACACATCTTCCACAGCACTCCTCTTGCTCAGTGCGCCGACCTTTAGGTCCAGTCGTGGTCGACTCTGGGGTTGCGGCGCTCATCTCGCTTTATTGACCAAGGGAGCCGGCGTACAGCTTCCAGGTCATGTGGCCAGCATGACTAAGCCGCTTCTGGCGAACCAGAGCAGCGCACGGAAACGCCGTTTACCTTCCCGCCGGAGCGGTACCTATTTAGCTACTTGCACTTTGACGTGCTTTTGAACTGCTAGGTTGGCAGGAGCAGGGACCAAGGAACGGGAGCTCACCCCGTCGCAGGGATTTGAACCGTCGACCTTCTGATCGGCAAGTCCTAGGCTCTGTGGTTTAACCCACAGCGCCACCCACGTCCCATAGTACATGGGTAGACAAATCTAAAAAGCCAGAGACAAAAAGTTATGGCCCTCTGGTGGCCATCGTGGCTCAACTTACCAGAAGTAATGTCTTTAGTGTTAACTCTGCCAGGGTGGACTCGATTCTGACCAAACTAAGCCTCCTAGAGTAAAATATGCAATCGCTGCAAAGAGGAAGGGATGCCGTAGAGTTAAAAGGGACCCGGAGGGTCATCTAGTCCAGCCCCCTGCAGTGAAGGAATAATGTGTGGGATTTTGTGCATCACAAAACTCTTCCAACAGTTGTCCAGAAAAGGCCACTCACCCCAGCCATGCAGAACGCAGTGCAGTGGTTTTTAACCACTTTTGAGAACCTGGCCTAGCAACCAGTCCTATCTTGACCAGTAGCTCAGAATAGTCGCTGCCATTATTTAACAGAAGAGACATGCTCTGGGGCATATTCCCGGCTTTTAAAGCCATTGTTTCGGCCGATGACGCAGGACTCCTGTTATCGAGAAGCTAGATCTCAGGGTCAAATCCTGGCTGTGTTTATTATTATTTATTTCATTTCTATACAGGATACAGAAGGAGAGACGGGGCGAAAAGGCAACACACACAACGGCTGCAAAGGAACCCAAAATGAGACAGTAGACTCCCATCGTTGGTAAGCATAGCAGCAAACAACTGCCAATCCAGTGTCAAGATTTATTCTTTTTTTAAGAAACAGCACAAAAGTAATCAAAAACAATTTTGGTAAAGAGGACTGCAGGGACAGAGCAAGACCCCCAAGCTTGCATAAATCTTGGCCCAGGACAAGAAGCCAAAGATGGCAAGCCTTCCAGCCTGCAGCTACGACTGGGGCATGGCAGTGAAGCCAGGGGTCCCTGGTGGGCATTGGAGGAAGGGGGAGAGAGAGGATTTATTCTCTCTGGCAATGCCTCTAAAGAAGAGAGTTTCATCCACGCAGGGGGCAAGCGTAAGGCAGCAGGAATCCCCTTCCTGATCAGAACAGCAAACTGGCAGAAGTCGCCATCTCTCCTGCACACACTCACAAATGTCCCTCCCTGAAAAAAAGCAGAGCTCGCTCCAGCGCCCGAGTATTGGGAGAGCCCAGAAACGAAAAGGCACTTCAGAGCAACCCATGTGCTTGGGTAGAGCGATGGGTGAAGGCACTTGTGTCCCAGCGGAGTGGCTTCTGTTTAATGCATTCAGTGCCCCTCCAGGAACAACGGAAGCCAGACGGACAGCAGTGGCGTTTGTCAGAGCAGCAGGAGCCCTGCAGGGGGAGACAGAGAGGCAATAATGATGGGGTGATACTTCCTGTCGGAAAGAAGTACAGTGGTGCCTTGCAAGACGAAAAGAATCCGTTCCGCGATTCTCTTCGTCTAGCGGTTTTTTCGTCTTGCGAAGCAACCCCATTAGCGGCTAAGCTGTTAAAAGGCTATTAACGGCTTAGCGGCTTTGAATAAGGGAGGGGGGAAGCGGGGGGGAAATGGAGAGACTCGCAAGACGTTTTCGTCTTGCGAAGCAAGCCCATATGGAACTTCGTCTTGCGAAGCGCCTCCGCGACGGAAAACCCTTTCGTCTTGCGGGTTTTTCGTCTTGCGAGGCATTCGTCTTGCGGGGCACCACTGTACTCAAGACTTAGAAAATCTAGACAACTTCCTGTTTAAAAGATTGCAAGGCACTGAAAAGACAGTACGTTTATTCATGTTTCTGCTCTTGTCTCGCGAGGCCTTACTTGGACCCTCGAGGAGGCTGGTGATTTTGAAAAACCCATCGAGATTGGTGGAAAGAGGAGTGACAACCCAGCACCAACAAGAGGAATAGTCTATGGATTCTCAGTCTAGTCCCCATCCTGCTCCCTTGGCCAAGTCCTAGAAGGGCGAAACTGAGACTGGGGAGGAAGGAGGTACAGAGCCACCCCCTGGATTAGCTGTAAGTAAGAAAGGAGGAGGGATAAAGGACTCAAGACTGAGGTTGGTGGGGCAGCCCCATTTACCCTCATGGGCCAGCCTCCACTGGGACCCCCCGTGACAAGACAGCAGTAGAGACAAGGAATAACTCTTGTAGCCCATGTACAGATAGCCTCAGACTACGCATTGAGAAATTGATATCTGGAATGCATTTATCAAAACCATACTAACACATGGATTAACATATAATTAAGACTACAAACTATAGTATATATTTTATTGCTGTTTTGAACTACTTTTAAAAGGGGTTTTTTAATGTACAGTCGTACATTTCGAACAGCTTAATTCTCGTTTCCCAAACGTTGCAAACCTGGAAGTGACTGTACTGGTTTGCAAACTATTTTTGGAAGCTTAACATCCAACGGGGCTTCTGATTGGCTGCAGGAGCTTCCAGCAGCCAATCAGAAGCCGTGCTTTGATTTCCCTAACATTTTGGAAGTCGAACGGACTTCTGGAATGGATCCCGTTCGACTTCCAAGGTACAACCTATTCTCTTCCCTTTTTTATTTTATTTAATATTTATACTTTTGTTGAGATTATTATAGTTGACAAAGTTACCCCCTTCCCCTCGGAACAGGAGGAGCTTCATGAAGATGGGAGGGAGAAATGCCACACAACAACAAGCAAGGCAAGACTCAAATCGCATCACCCATAAGAAAGCAGGAACGTCATTACCGGTGCTGCAGAGTGGAAATTTTTCCAGCGATTCATCTAACTTCACTGGTAACAGTGATTGGATGCCAATTGGAAATGCGATATTGGCTGTTTCAAAGGTGGCCGGTTTGGTTTTTTTGTAGCTTTGTTTAGTAAACACAAGTAAAAATAAATTTGCACAGGGATTTTTCTTTTGTTTGAAATTTCCCAGAAAACTCACATGGCTGATGATGAGATACAAGATCCCAGGGATATATACACAAGGGATTCCCAGCCTGCCTGCCCATCAGTCAAGGACACTTGAGAGTTGTGGTCCAGCAATGGCCACAATCCCCTCCTGCTTTCTACCTCCGTGTTTCACTCCCTTTAAGCCATCAATCCTGCTTCTCAGGATCTTTCAAACTAAAATTGCCACCCTCCCGTGACCTCTGCTCAAAATCTTATCCAGTTGGCACCCCGCCAAACACACAAGTCCTCCCCGCTAACCAGTTCGAACCTGCAACCAACCCCGCCCCCAGCACTGCCACTGACCTTGTCGTAAGGGCAACAGGCCCATCCGCCTGAGCTGGACTTGCAGCAGGTCTGGTGGTCGTGACAGTAGTGCTGATCACCGCACAACACATCCCGGCCGGACGTGGGGGCGCGCGAGGAACTCAGCAGACCTCCTGCAGGCAGGAGCCTGGGCCAGAACTGCTTCTCGCATGTCTGAGCTGCCACGTTGCAGGTGTAGCCCGAGGGGCAGCAGTGTTTGTGATCCTCGCAGCAAACAGCCTGCAGAAGCAGAGAGAGAAAAGCTTTGGTCCTCGGGGTCTGTCCTGATGCCGCAACACTCGATGACCTAGCCAAAGAGTTGCCCACATGTGAAAGGGGGTTTGCTTTTAACAGCTAAAAAGGATACAAGTTTCTGTTATTAAACAACGTCTCCCCAGTGGAGAAGACATGGCCAAATGCAGTGCAATAAACAAAAACAAGGGGGTGGGGAAAAGGGAATGGCTGACAAGCTGAAATTTGTGCCTCTTTTTAAGAATTACTTGCACCCTGAGAAATCTCCGCTTTCATTTTACACAAACTCAAGTTTTTAGACCTTAAAAGCTGTGGAGACAGCGTTGTTGAAGAAGAAGAAGAGTTCGGATCTGATATCCCGCTTTATCACTATCCGAAGGAGTCTCAAAGCGGCTAACATGATTTCCCTTCCTCCCCCACAACAAACACTCTGTGAGGTGAGTGGGGCTGAGAGACTTCAGAGAAGTGAGAGGTCACCAAGGTCACCCAGCAGCTGCATGTGGAGGAGCGGGGAAGTGAACCCGGTTCACCAGATTACGAGTCTACCGCTCTTAACCACTACACCACACTGGCTCTCACTGGCTTGGGCGTGTTCTCAGGTTACTGGGGGAGGGTGAGGAGGCTGGGGCCATCTCCCTTGGCTAGTGAAACACACATTTATTTATTTACTGCCAGGACTAGCTTTTCCCAGAACAGCATTTAGGTTAGCTAACGCATGCCTCGGAGTTCACAAAGGGTGCCGGAATAGCACCCAACACCCTGAAGAAACCAAGCTGCTTCTTCTCTGACCAGCACCCTGCACCCTCCAGGCTCTGCCTCCCACACCTGCTCTATCTTTTTCTGTGCTTTGCCCTGCTCACTGCCTCTGTCCAAGCCTCTTGCCCTAATAGATCAGAGTCGATTCCAGCATCACATAGTGCAAGGCTGCCTCCTGCATGTCAGTCAGTCGCCCAGTGCCTTGGCATGCTTTCGCTTCAGCGTTCTGTGCTGGCACCTGGGCAGAAGGTAAAGGTAAAGGGACCCCTGACCATTAGGCCCAGTCGTGACAGACTATGGGGTTGCAGCGCTCATCTCGCTTTATTGGCCGAGGGAGCCGGCGTACAGCTTCCGGGTCATGTGGTCAGCATGACTAAGCCGCTTCTGGAGAACCAGAGCAGCGCACGGAAACGCCGTTTACCTTCCCACCACAGCGGTACCTATTTATCTACTTGCTCTTTGAGGTGCTTTCGAACTGCTAGGTTGGCAGGAGCAGGGACCGAGCAACGGGAGCTCACCCCTTCGCGGGGATTCAAACCGCCGACTTTCTGATCGGCAAGTCCTAGGCTCTGTGGTTTAACCCACAGCGCCACCCACGTTAAGTTTGTGCAAAGCCCCGGCTGCACTCACGTTGGGTAGCTGGCAGCAGCTCCACCCGCCCGAGACATCCCTGCAGCAGGTCTGCCCTTCCTCGCAGCTGGATGTGTCGTTGCACTGGATGCCACGGTTCTGAGTCACACCGGCAGGATGCTTGGGAGCCCAAGGCAGAGAGTGCTGCGGCGACTGGCAGGTTTTCTGACCTGGATCGCAAGTGTAGTCTTTGGGGCAGCAGTGGACACGGTCTGGGCAACAGACAGCCTGCAAGGGAGACAGGAGAGAGATACAAGAATAGGAGCTGGCAAGATTTAACAGATCAGAGACCAAAACGACAAAAAAAGTCTGAGAACCACTGGCCTCGGGCATCGTTGTGAATTCACAAGAGGCCGAGAAAGAGGAGCAGGATTTGAATCTGGGACTTCCTGGGGTCAGAGCTCAGCCCCTTACGCTGCACCAGCTCTTTAGGAGACGGTGACTACAAGGGCTGAACCCCAGGAACCGTTTTCCCGGCTGGAAGCATCTTAAGAAAACACAGGGATTGGCCAATGGGGATAAGGTGAGCCACCAAAGAGGTTCCTCTTTTGAGAACCATTGCCTGCCACAAAGGCATATTACAGCAGGTGAAGGATTCCCCTTTGTTTAAAAAGAAGAATTCAAGTTAGGTTTTTCTTGAACTGCACAGAACAGCACTGTCACTTTAGTTTCACACTTGATAGCAACTTGTTGGGGACTCTTCCGCCACCCCAGCTTACCTCTGGGAAAGGGCAGCACCCCCACTCGCCCGAGGGCATCCGGCAGCAGGTGTGCCCGTCTGGGCAGCTCGCCTTGTCGTCACACCTGATGTCCTTCACCTCCCTCGGCTGAATGAGAGCCATCGAGACCTGCCAGGAAGGTTGTCTGCTTTGGACGCAGGAGCTGTGTTCCACGTCACAGGTGTAGCCCCCAGGGCAGCAATTCTTTTGGTCAGAGCAGCAGACGGCCTGCAGAGGAAAGGAAGGAAGGGTGAGGACTCACTCCTCTTCAGGGGCCTATAGGCAGCTCCCCAAATCAACCACTCTTTACCCGTAAGGAAACTGCTGCCACCATGACACACACACACACACACATTTTGGGGATAAACCCGCCCGCTCGACGTACCTGTGGGAAAGGGCAGCACGCCCAGCCCAGCGCTCCGGCCGTGCAGCACGTCTGCCCATCTGCGCAGCTGAACTCCTCGTTGCATTTCACGTTCCTGCTCAAAGAGGCGAAGCCAACGACGGCCGGCTTCTTCTCCAGCCAAGGGATGCTGCCTCCGTTCTTGGTGCAAGTGCCTTCCGACAAGTTGCACTGGTAGTTGGCAGGGCAGCAGTGGGAGCCGTCCTTGCAGCAGATGGCCTGGGGGGAGGGGGAAGCAGAGGGGGTGGGTGGGTGGGTTGGGAAGGAACTCGTGAGCCTGGAAGGAATCGGGGACAGGATTTACAATCCCTGACTGTAAACGGTGGCAGGGTCTCTGGTCTCACCAAGTCTTCAATGGGATTTTGATTGGAGACCCAAGTCAACGATGCTACAGGAATCAACGGAATAGCCTACTCCTGTTCAGCTTGAAATTACAGGCTGATTTTGTAGGTTTTTCAAAAGAATGCATGGGGTGGGGGAAACGGCATTATATGCTGGGGGGGGGGGCACTGACCAGATGAGTTTCTCCTTCATTGCTAATGACACCTCACATTTTTCTTCCAAATGTGTTGGAAGCCCTAGAGACAGAGCAGTTGTGCAGGGGAAGTGCTAGATGGCATGTAAGGGCAGAAGAGTCCCTTCCCGATCCATCGGGATAAAGTAATGAAATTATCACTAATCTAGCAAATCACTGGGCAACCCCAGCTGCCAAATGCAAAGCCAGAACCAAATTAGATGGGATTGCATCAGATTAAGGAGCTGCTGCCATCCTGTAAAAAGTGGGAGAACCAAATTAAATGGGAAACGCAGGGGAGAGAGCTGGGCTGAAAACGTGCCAGCCCATATTTTACTTCCCCACATATCCCTCTTTCTCCAGGCGCTTTGGGCTTCGACACTGAAAAGGCTTGGGAAAGTAGAGAGGGAAAGGAGCCCAAGAAAAGAAAGGGGCCTAGAAATATCACTGACTGCAACACAAACCATAGGGCAGGTTACAGCCGTGTTGGCCTGCCGTAGTCAAGCAAAAATAAAAAATTCCTTCCAGTAGCACCTTAGAGACCATCTAAGTTTGTTATTGGTATGAGTTTTCGTGTGCATGCGATTGGCGAGGGGGAGACTGAATTTCACCGAGCAAAAGCCACTGGTTTCTAGTTGTCAAGATGCACCTCCTTGCTGGGTAACGGCATTATGCAATCTGCTGTTCACCCCACAAATGGGCTCCGCTTGTTCCCATTTTACAGACAGCAAAACTCCGGACCTGAGCACACTCCCAGCGCAGCCAGGCTTGAACCCACTTCCCCCCCTTTCCGTTCCACAGCCAAGACACTTGGAGCGCACGGGCCACTGTGGCATTTGGCAGTGAGTGTTGATTTGGCCAGCCCAGGCAGAATCGCCAATTTTCGGGGCAGGAAGAGATGGGACCTGCCCCACCCTCCTCTTACCTCTGGCAAGGGGCAGCAGCCCCACGCGCCCGATGACAGACGGCAGCAGGTGTGCCCTTCTGGGCATTCCGTGTGGGCATCGCACGGCACTGCCGTGCCCGCAGAGCTCGCAGGCGGGGAGCGTGGCTCTGCTTTTGCCAGCCACGGGATGCTTCTGCCGCCTTCGTCGCAGGTCCCCGCGGCCACATTGCATGTGTAGCCCTTTGGGCAGCAGTGGACGTGGTCTGAGCAGCAGACAGCCTGGAAAAGGACATGGAGGGTTCTCAGGTTCATTCATGGAGCAGTTGACACAGAGAGGGCACAAGGAGGCTGCCACCTAGCCATGGAAGAAAGACCCCTCCCCACCAGCCCAGCTAGCAGAGATCCTTGTCGACATAGAGGTTCCTGAACATTTCAGGCCACCATCCCCTGGGTCCCACGGAGACTCAGAAACTACAACTAATCCAGAATGCAGCTGCAAGGCTGGTGACTGGGAGCAGTCGCTGGGACCATATACAGTGGTACCTCGGGTTACATACGCTTCAGGTTACAGACTCCGCTAACCCAGAAATAGTACCTCGGGTTAAGAACTTTGCTTCAGGATGAGGACAGAAATCGTGCTCCAGCGGCGCAGTGGGAGCGGAAGGCCCCATTGGCTAAAGCGCTGCTTCAGGTTAAGAACAGACCTCCAGAACGAATTAAGTTCTTAACCTGATGTACCACTGTAACTAGTCCTAAAGGATCTTCAGTGGCTCCCAGTATGTTTCTGAGCACCATTCAAAGTGTTGGTGCTGACCTTTAAAGCCCTAAACGGCTTCGGCCCAGTATACCTGAAGGAGCGTCTCCACCCCCATCCTTCTGCCCGGACACTGAGGTCCAGTGCCGAGGGCCTTCTGGCGGTTCCCTCATTGCGAGAAGCAAAGCTACAGGGATCCAGGCAGAGGGCCTTCTTGGTAGTGGCGCCCGCCCTGTGGAACACCCTCCCATCAGATGTCAAGGAGATAAACAACTACCAGACTTTTAGAAGACATCTGAAGGCAGCCCTGTATAGGGAAATTTTAAAAATGTGTAATGTTGCACAATTTTTTATGTTCTGTAAGCTGCCCAGAGTGGCTGGGGAAACCCAGCCAGATGGGTGGGGTATAAATTAATAATAAATAATGATAATGATGATGATTGCCAGTTACCCCTGCCATATAAAAACATTCAGAACAGCGGTTACTCACTAAGGAACATAGTAAGCAACACAGTAACATTGAAAGCAGTAACCACCTGCTACACATTTGTTCAAAATCCAATGAAAACTACTTCGTTCAATTAGTTCGACAAAAATGGAGAAGCTGGTGTCACTGGGTATCAGCTTCATCCAAGTCTGATAGTCATTTACACCTCCAGCGCCCCCTGCCACCCCCTTGCCTCTTAGTGCTCCCTAACACCAGGGGGCAGTAATGCCCCCTTTGGAAACCACGGTTTTAACAGCGGTTACCGGGGACAAGGCCTGGTACCCTTCCACAGGCAAAACTATAGTAAGGTTACCCGACGTCCCCGTTTCTTGGGGACAGCCCCCGGATTTACAAATCAGTCCCCTGACAAAATCCATCTATTTAGCAGGAAGTTGAAAAGTGTCCCCAGATTCATTGGGGGGGGGGGAAACTGGTAACCTTAAACTATAGGATTTGTCCTGTCCTGTCCCCCCCACTATGGCCACATCCTGACTTGAATGAGTCAAAACCCTTGCCCCACAGCAGGAACAGAGGAAGATGTCTTGGTCCACCTAGTTCAGGACTGACCGGTGGGATTTCAGAAGGGACCCCATAGGCGCCAGAGACTGAGCCTGGGACCATCTGCACCCCTGTCCCCTCATCCATCGCTCTCTTACCTCCTCCAATGGGCAGCACCCCCATTCGCCTGGGCTTCGCAGACAGCAGGTGTTCCCATCTGGGCAGGTGTGCTCATCGTCGCACTGGACAACACCGACTACAGGAAGGGGAGGGAGGCACATTGGAATGGGAACCAAGAACGCCCTACCTCAAGGCTGTTTTGGGCAGCCCTTGGCAACATTTGACTACCTCCTGAAACCCCCCCCCCCACTGTCTTGCCAAGACCAGGTAAGTGAGGTGCTGGGCTTTGGGAAGGAGGTGTGGTGTTCTGGCAGAGTCCTAGTAGCGTCCTGCCTCCTTTCCAAAGCCTAGTTGCACTTTTCTAGCTTTAGGAAGGAGATGGGAGGGCTCTAGGACCCTGCCTTGTACCTCCTTCCCAAAGCCCAGTGTGTTGCTTAGCTGGTATGGGGAAGGCAGCATGAGGGTTGAGGAGTATCAAGTTTTGGTCTCACTCCATTAGGAGCAGAGGAAGCTGCATTACACCGCGCTAGAGCATCTAGCTGAGGACTGTCTACACTGACTAGGAGTGTCTCGCCACTGTTTCAGACACAGGTCTCTCCCAGCCCTAACCTGGAGATACCAGATAGATAGATAGATAGATAGATAGATAGATAGATAGATAGATAGATAGATAGATAATTTATTACGGTCAGAGACCAGCTTATAAAACACACACAGGGGTACAGTCACAGAAGGAAAACAAACAATTGAAACAATGCACAACAATAAATTTAAAAACAATGTACAACAATAAACCACCGCAGCGAGCTGACCCAGAGTCACCCACAGAACCGAGTTTGGGGATTTTCTTAACGACCTAGTTTGAGTTGGGAGATGGTATGTGCCTACAGATCTGTACACAGAATCTGGCGACCATCCGGGTCGTCTTCTGATCTTTTGCCTAACAGGAATAGGTCGAATTTTTGCTTTTCCGGGAGGTCAGCGAGCCTCACCAGTAGGGGATCAATGGTCTTAACTACGTGCCCCTTCATAAAAGGGATATCTAAAGAACAAGTGCTCTGGGCTTCCTATCTTCCCCCAATGAAGAGGCACAAAGTCTCAGTGTATGGGACTTTTTTCAAGGCTCCTTCCAGGACCGGTGAGGGCAGGGCCGAGCTTCTGGCGAGTGTAAAGGCCCTTCTTGCAGGAGATGCCAGAAACTGAACCCGGGACCTTCTGCTTGCAAGGCAGATGCTCCTCCAATAAGCAGCAGCCCCTCTCCCAAAGTCTACATCCTGGGCAGCCAACCTGGTACCTTCCTGAAGCAGCTGACCTACACCTCCCAACCACTTCTGACACCACGATGCTAGCTATCCCCATTCGACATAACACGTGCAGGCACAGATTTTCGCCTCCCTTGCTGCTTTGCAGAATACCCCCCCCCCCACACACACACACACCGAGTCCTGCCTCACCTGTTTGGCGGAGGTCCGTAGTGAGGTGCAAGATGGGCCATGACCTCTGCGGGGTCATAGTGCATCGCGAGTGCTCCAAGTCGCACTTGGTGCCCTGTGGGCAGCAGTGAAGGTGGTCGCTGCAGCAGACAGCCTGGCAGGAGGCGAGGAAAGGTTGTGGGCATCAGATCCAGAACGGCACTGCCTGCATCTGCCTAGCTTGGGACGTAGGGTGGGCTGGAGGGCACCAGTTCATGCCAAACATGGCAACCCATGCTTCTGGTTTGAGGGCTGCATCTTTTCCATATCTTGCTGCTATAGGCAGCAAGCCCAGCGGACAAGTGCTAATTTGCAGTAAGGCTTCACGGAAAAGAGGGCCAACAGACACCCCAAAGCTCCCCCAAAATGAATCAAGTGGAGGGGGTGTCAAGGTCCTCAGAAGAAGCTGCACTGGTGGATCTGTGTTGCTGGGAGTGGAGTAAGACTGGGCAATATATCGTCCAAAATCAGTTTGAAGTCCATATCATGATATTGGTTTCATAATTTTTGACCTGGAAATGTGTCGCGAATCACTATGTGTGTGTGTGTATGCTCTGTGCAAAAGTCTAAATGTGGGGGAAACCGTGAAGCCAGCCAATGCCTCCACAATGCTCTGTCCTTATTTCAGACATTGTGATACAGTCATACCTCGGGTTACAGACGCTTCAGGTTGCGTTTTTTCGGGTTGCGGACCGCTGAAACCTAGAAGTACCGGAACGGGTTACTTTCGGGTTTCGGCAGTCACGCATGTGCAGAAGTGCCGAATCACAATCTGCGCGTGCACAGATGCGGTTTGTGAACGCTGTGGGTTGCGAACGTGGATCCTGCACAGATCATGTTCGCAACCCGAATGTCCACTGTATATTGGTACATCGCAAAGTTCAGCTTGTGATAAATTGCGATATCGAAAACCAGGCATCGCCCAGTGCTATAGTGGAGTACAAGCCTCAGGGAAATGCGCAAGTGAAAGAGGGAGGTGATTTCTTGCTTCACCCCCACGGCCAAAATCCAAATTACGGTGGAACTTTGGTTCTTGAACAGCTTAGTTGATGAACAAATTAACTCCACAACACCTTGGTTTTCGAACAGTTTCAAGAGTCAAACGGACTTCCAGAACGGACTGAGTTCAAGAACCAAGGTTCCACTGTATGTTGGTCAGAAAACAGAGCTGCCACAATCTGAATTTAGCGAGAGCCGCAGGCCTAGCAATACTGGCCCCTTCCACTGAACCCACACAATCCAGTTGTCTTTCTGAATTTGATACTTACATTGGGTAGGTGGCAGCAGCCATACTGGCCCGTCGAGAGAATGCAGCAGGTGTCTGTATCCGGGCAGCTGGACTGATTACCTGGGCAGAGACTGTTCCGAGGTGAATCTGCAGAGGAGGTTCAGAGACAGGAATTTAAGAGGGTAGGATGCGCTGCCTTGTCAGAAGGGGAATGAAGAACTGCTGCACTGAATGGGCAGCAACTCCAAGTCCACCCCATCCTTCACTCCCCGTTCCGTACCCAACAGAACCGCTCGCCTGCTCGCTGGGAACTTCTTCCAAAGAGGGTGCTCCCCGGAGGCTGCAAAGCACCGTGCGTGTGGCAGGTCGCAAGTTGTGTTGTGTGGGCAGCAGTGGATCTTGTCTTCACAGCACAATGCCTTGGGAGAGAAAGAGGCGAGGAATGTGACAGCAAGCCCAAAATCCATTACTTCAAGTGGTTTTATTTGAATTTTCATGTTGCTGTGAACTTAGGGGTTCATGGTTCTTTCAGTATTTAATTGTAAGCCACCCTGATCATGTATCCCAAAGATTGTGCTTTTATTATTTATACCCAAACAAGTTTCTAGTCTAGTATGGATGATGGGAGGTGTAGTCCAATGACCACGGATAACAGCCACGGGTTTCCCATCCTTGCCTGATTTGATTTGCTGCTTGCTTCACTCACACACACACATCCCTCAATTACCTGGTCCTATTTCTAAGTTATCTGCTCACAAGTACATCAGCAAACATTATTTTCCCTTCAAGAAGCACCACCCTCAAGCTTGTTAGCAGCTATATTACACAGACTCTTTTGCCAATGGCTTCAGAAAAGTTCAAGAGCACTTGTGTCTTTGAGATGTTGAGTTCGTAATGGCTTTCTCTTGAGTCTTTTTTTTAAAAAAAAGTATTTAGTTAGGTTTTTTAAGAGGTGTCAGCATAATTACTTAAGGAGGAGCTTCGGTTCTGAAACACATCCAGCTATAATAATGCATTCAGCTATAATGAAACTCTCACAGATGTGGACTTGGGAGAACCCATTTCTGCTTTCTGCATTCTCCCACGAATTTGCCCCCTGGTTCTTTTCGAGTTTTTCTTTTCTTTTTGCACGACCTGGAGCCGTTCTATAGTGCACCTGCTGTATTGCTGCATTGCAGAGACTCCTCCCCGCCCCCCAGCTAGCCAATGGGTCTTGCTACCCCATAACACCCACTCTCCCCTCTGGGAATCTTCAGGGATTCAAGCCGCACAGACACACTTGGTATCAGCAGTACAAGGTGTGACCCAGAAGTTGCTCCACAACCTCCTGTTCAAGACATGAACTTAAAACCAAATCAGACCCAAGGCAGTGAGGGATCCAAAGGCAGATCCTGGGGCAACTTGGAAGAAGATCAACAAGGATTTCCTATTCTGTTGTTTAATAACAGCAGCAACCAAACTACACTCCCAGTACAACTGCTGAAGTGCAGAAAGTTGGGGCAGGATTGTATTCTGTGGAGGGTGCCCCATTAGGGTAGAAGGGGCACTGCCCCACCAACCTCGCTCTTCCAGAGGGCAGCTCTGGTTTATCTGCTTTCTCCTCAGTCTCAGTGCTGCCTTTGCAGAACTCGCCAGAGAGCAAGATGGTGACAGAAGGAGACCGAGTTGGCTTTGCTTGGCATTGGCTCTGGCGCCCCCTGCTGCTCCTTGTCTCCTGCCCTACCAGTCACAAACATGCACCAGCCACCACTGAATTTTGTGTGTGTGGAAGGACTGGGATGCAGTTCGGTTCAGCTACTCACATTCATGGGCTCAGAATTCTTTGATTGTTAAGTGCTGGCCTTTTGCGTCTGGTTCTGGCTGGCAGATCTTTGGGTTCTAATCAATAGCAAAGCAGATGGTGGGAGCCTGAAGTGCACCCGGCTCTGATCTCAACCACTATTGTCTACTCTGGCAGACAGCAGTAAGTGCTCCGTCGTGGTGCTGTGGCTCCCACAAAGTCTCAAGCCTTTCAGAAGCCTCTGTTTTTCCATCAGATTGGCTTTTAGCGGTCAGGAAAAAGGCAAGCTAAAGATTTAATAATTTAGGACGGGTTTTCAGATTGTTAGTCACCCAAAGGCTAGACATCAAATCAATTAATACCTTGATTTGGGGGGGGGGGAGGAAACACTGTTCTTGGCAGCTTTTGCTTATACTAAGTGTTTTGTGAGTTGCAGAAGCATCTGCAGGAAAAAAGCACAGAACAGAACACTGGGTGGGGAATCCAGATCTCTCTTCACTTTAAAACCAAGTTTCTAGTCCCTTGAGCTGTACATATATGGTTGAAAGTGCACAAGAAACGTGTTAAAATCTCAGAAGCAAGAAAGGTGGCTGAGTGGGGTGTTAGGCCTTCAGTGTGGCTTGCGATTACAAGAAAACAAAAATGACACAAAGTGCTAGCAAGTGAAGAAATATATATAAAAACACCCACAAAATGACAAATTATGCAAATGAAAGATGCTTGTATCATTTATAGACTGCAGAATTAAGCTTCTTTGGCACTGATTTTTATAGGCTAGTGATGCAGAAGGAAGATATCAGGATGAAATGGCATTGCCAACAGGAACTGTACATTGTAATCGTTGGACTTGACAATCTTTGGACTTGACTATCCTTGGACTTTATGACAATAAAAACATATAGAAGGTTAATAGTAATATATGTTATTGCCACCAGGAACCGTGCGTTGCAATTTTTTGACATGACAATTACAGTTTTATTATATATACAGTGGTACCTCGGGTTAAGTACTTAATTCGTTCCGGAGGTCCATTCTTAACCTGAAACTGTTTTTAACCTGAAGCACCACTTTAGCTAATGGGGCCTCCTGCTGCCCTCGCACCGCCGAAGCACGATTTCTGTTCTTATCCTGAAGCAGAGTTCTTAACCTGAAGCACTATTTCTGGGTTAGCGGAGTCTGTAACCTGAAGCGCCTGTAACCTGAAGCGTATGTAACCCGAGGTACCATTGTAATGTTATGTTACTTTCCAGCCAGTTACGTGTGTGTTGTGGTATTCTGAACATGATTTACATAATGAGGCAATTGTGGTGCGGTGTTGAGCTGAGATTCCTGCATTGCAGGGGTTTGGTCCAGATTACCCTTGGGGGTCCCTTTCAACCCTACGATTCCATCTGCCAGGCCCCCATACCTCAGGCATCGGGCAACACCCCCAGACTCCATCGGGCATCATACAACAAGTAGACTCATTTGGGCATTCCGATTCCCCATCTGGACACTGAACAGCACCGACTCTGGCAGGAAAGGTTGGAGCTAGAAGCCAAAAGCAACAGAAAATCCATGTTAAAAGTAAGTTCTAGCCGATTTTCAAAAAGCATTCAGAGGAAGCCACTGGGATAGTTAGATAATTCTTCTTGCCAGGTTTCGCAGTACATTGTTCCGGCTGTGACCACCCCTCTCTCCTTTCCATCACCCTGCCCCAAGGTACCTTCACTCTTAGAGCAGGATTTTCCGTCAGGACTGCAGCGGGAGCCAAGGGGGCAGCAATAGTGACCGCCAGCACAGGAGATGCCCTGTAAGAGAGGAGCATAGCTGTCAACTTACAGATTTGAAAATAAGGGACCGGCAGCCTCGAAAATAAGGGATCAGCAGCCAAAATAGGGGATTTTAGTCAACCAGCTGAAATACAAAGTTAAAGGGGACCAGATAATTTTGGAGAGCAGCGCTGGTTTCTAGCCCTTCATTTCCAGAGGTTGCTGCTCAAGCTGATGAAACACTGCAATTAAATAACTACAAGCAGCAACCACTTTTCGCACAAAACGAAGTCCAAGCTACGAAGATGCTACCCCAGGCAGAGACGCTCAGTTCAGCGGCCGCGAGGAGGATGGCGGCAGAAGGGCCCGAGGCTCCCGCCAGTCCCGGCAGGGAGGGGCTCCCGGGGGCCGAGGCTGGTGAGAGGAGGCCGGAGGGGGGCGGGGCGGGCAGCCAAGCAACACAGTTGGAGCCTCCCTCCTCCCTGGCCAGCAGGGAGGGAGGGAGAGGAGCTGCTTCCTTTGAAACCCGGGAAATTTATGGGACATCATCAATAAGGGACAGCAGTGGGACACTGCGCTGGGATAAGGGAGTTTCCCGCCAAATAAGGGACGGTTGACAGCTATGGAGAGGAGGCGAATGTCAGGGGGAAAGAGATTCAGCACAAGAGATGGGGGTGGTGATTGCAGGCTCAGAAGGAACCTGCCTTTGCCTGGAGTATACAGCAGGGCGAGTATTTTCTAAGGAGAGGTGTTGGGGACTCAAGTCTGCCCATGAACTAGACAGGGAGGCATGGCAGCCGTGTAGCTGGCTGCAGTCACTCAGTAGGATGCTTTAGTTCCACCCCTTTCCAGGACTACAGTCAGTTGTCATCCCCTTCTTCTGTGCTCAGTGCTCCACAGTGCTCAGGTTAAGCGGAGATCACAAGGTCGATTCAGAAGGTTGGTGGCTCAACTACTCAAAGGAGAGATTGACTGAAAAATCTTGCAGTCGTGGCTGGGGACAGGAAGAGATTTCGGAGAGGTTTCTGCTGCCTTCACAACTAAAAAGCACCCTACCCACAAACTCTGGTACAGACCTTTCTGAGATGCTCAATATGAAAATCATATTTCTTCTCCTTTTTAATCACCCAGTTAGGTAAAGGTAAAGGGACCCCTGACCATTAGGTCCAGTCGTGGCCGACTCTGGGGTTGCGGCGCTCTTCTCACTTTATTGGCCAAGGGAGCCGGCGTACAGCTGGTCATGTGGCCAGCATGACTAAGCCGCTTCTGGCGAACCAGAGCAGTGCACGGAAACGCTGTTTACCTTCCCGCCGGAGTGGTACCTATTGATCTACTTGCACTTTGACATGCTTTCAAACTGCTAGGTTGGCAGGAGCAAGGACCGAGCAACGGGAGCTCACCCCGTCGTGGGGATTCAAACCGCCGACCTTCTGATCGGCAAGTCCTAGGCTCTGTGGTTTAACCCACAGCGCCGCCCGCATCCCTCACCCAGTTAGGAGCAGGGTCCAAATGGAAACAGAGATCTATTAAGTGTTAGAACATCTGTTCTGAGATTTATTTCAGCACGGAGCACAAAAGGGAAGAAGGCAGGCTGAGACTACGAGGTGTGGGACACGGAGGCTGAAACTGTCCCTTTCGGCTATCCCGAAACAGTCCTGGAGAAAGACCTGCGCCTTGCAGGAACACCCTCCCCTGTTCTCTTCTGTGTCTCACCTCTTTCCAGGGGCAGCAGGCCAAGTCATCGTCTGGAGTACGCAGGCAGGAGTATTCCGCCGGGCACACACGGCCGTCTAAGCACGCAACACCAGAGGGCTCCGCCACCTGGTGGAGAGAGTTGTCTTGGGGAGGGAACATGCGCAGGGAGGCAGCTGTGAACTGAAAACAGAAAGAAGAAGTGGGAAAGGGGGAAGCAGAACTGGCCCCGTGCAGATACCCACACAGACCCAAGACCTCCCTGGAAGAAAAAGCTGATCCAGAGCTGTGGGGGGCGGGGAGGTGTCACGTAGCTCAGTCAGTAGGACGTGAGACTCTTAATCTCAGGGTTGCGGGTTTGAGCCTCACGGGGGGCAAAAGATTCCTGCATTGCAGGGGGTTGGACCAGATAACTATCGAGGTCCCTTCCAACTCTACGATCCCATGATTCTAGGGTTCTACTCAGTGTTAGAAACTCAGATATACAAGCTTGGCTCCTTAAATGAAGGTTGCGGTCACCAAATCGGAACGTCTAGTTGGAAGAGACCAATATATATGAGAGCTGTCCCCTGGATCAAGTGACTTTTCTTCTTTAAGTTCTCAAAGTTCTTAACCGAAGCTCAAGGTTGTCATCTGAACTAGCCAGATGTTTAACTGAGAATCAGTCAGTCCATTGTTTGAAAAATTGAGACTTTAGAGCCCCAAAATGGCAACTGGACATTCTGTTTTGGCGTCTGCGGCCTTGGTTTAAGGAGCCATTTGGTGCCTAGATTATATCTGAGTTTCTAACACTGCCAACAGCCCTGCCCTCCATGAATTTGTCTAATCTTCTTTTAAATCCAGTTTAAATTCTGATCCTATTCAGGTGTGCTATTGGTGCGCATGTGCCACAGACAGGTGGGGTGAGCCGGAACAGCAAGCTCAGTTCCACTGCCAAGTAAGTGGCAGGGAGCCATTTTACTTGTGGACTTTGAGCTCCAGCCAGTGTTAGAAACTGGAGAAACCTAGAAACAGAAAACCTAGGCGCCAAATGGCTCCTGGGACCTGGGTTATAGGTGCCAAAACAGAATGTCTAGTCGCTATTTGGGGGGAGGAGGGTTGTCGGCAACACTTTTTATTTATTATTCTGATAAGCTTGAACTAATAATTCACATAAGAGACACATTGTTAATAGCACTTTTTTTATCAGAAATTGTTAATACATGTTTAATCTGGTGTTTACAATATTGGTACCATTGTTCAGATTTCAAAACACTCTACTCTTTACTGTTAAACTCCTTAACATATTGTCTATCCTTAACGTTTACTTCAAGGCTTCAAAGCACATTTCAGTAATCCTTGAGTGCCAGCCAGGCGCAAAAAAAGGGCACCCAGACTTTTTGAGGTGTTTGCAAATGAAGAATCTTTAGGCGCTCTGCTAATTTCGAACCCTGCCTTCAACTCATGGAGAGGGAAATAGTGAAAGGGGAGGGTTGAGCTTAACAAGCCTGTTCCTACTCATATGTGGGGTATGGATTTTATTTCTATTAAAAAGATAAGCTTTGGGAGTACAATGGTACCTCAGATTACATACGCTTCAGGATACATACGCTTCAGGTTACAGACTCCGCTAACCCAGAAATAGTGCTTCAGGTTAAGAACTTTGCTTCAGGCTGAGAACAGAAATCGTGCTCCGGCGGTGCGGTGGCAGCGGAAGGCCCCATTAGCTAAAGTGGTGCTTCAGGTTAAGAACAGTTTCAGGTTAAGTACGGACCTCCGGAACAAATTAAGTACTTAACCTGAGGTACCACAGTATTTGTTTTTCCTGTTGGGGCTTTTTTATGCTTCCTTTCATGTTTTAATTTGTACAGTGGTACCTCTGGTTACGTAACCCAAGGTCCCACTGTATTTATGCATTATACAAACATTTGTGCACCATTCTGGAATCTTTTCGATGTCCAGAAGTACTTTAAATAAACCATTGTTTAAAAAGGGTGCATTTAATGGAAGGGGGGAAACAGCTCTGCCTTTACAAAGTTGGGAGAGGGACAAAGACTTGGCTTTTCACCTACTTGTGGAAGGTGCAAATCTAGTTCTCACCTGAGGCTGGTCACAGCAGGAATATCCATCTTCTCCAGAGAGCTTGCAACAAACAGAGGATCCCTTACAGCTATGGCCATCGGGGCACTGCAGAGAAGAAGCTGACCCTCCAAGCACCAGGCACACAAACAGCTGTACCCACCGCATCTTGGCCAAGAACCTGAAAAGAGAAAGATGGAGAAAAGGACAGGTGTTGGTTAATTACAGGCAAGTCAATGTCTTCCAGCAGTCACGAAATTAAAAGACACCTGCTTCTTGGGAGAAACGCAGTGACAAACCTAGACAGCATCTTAAAAAGCAGAGACATCACCTTGCCAACAAAGGTCTGTATAGTTAAAGCTATGGTTTTCCCAGTAATGATGTATGGAAGTGAGAGCTGGACCATAAAGAAGGTTGATCGCCGAAGAATTTATGCTTTTGAATTATGGTGCTGGAGGAGACTCTTGAGAGTCCCATGGACTGCAAGAAGATCAAACCTCTCCATTCTGAAGGAAATCAGCCCTGAGTGCTCACTGGAAGGACAGATTGTGAAGATGAGGCTCCAATACTTTGGCCACCTCATGAGAAGAGAAGACTCCCTGGAAAAGACCCTGATGTTGGGAAAGATGGAGGGCACAAGGAGAAGGGGACGGCAGAGGACGAGATGGTTGGACAGCGTTCTCGAAGCTACCAGCATGAGTTTGACCAAACTGTGGGAGGCAGTCGAAGACAGGAGTGCCTGGCGTGCTCTGGTCCATGGGGTCACGAAGAGTCGGACACCACTAAACCACTAAACAACAACCCACTGCGAAATATAACCAGGCCTTTGGCCTTTAACTATCTGTGGCTTTTTAGAAGTGGGTGGGCTGTTTCTAATGTATTCCTCTTTCCTCTTGGTTTTAATGTATCTTCGGGGGATTACTGTCTGTTTGGTTATAAGTTGTTTTGGTGAGAAAGCAGGTCAGCAATAAATCACAGGGAGTCAGTGAAGTTAACTCTTTATTCAAGGAAACTAGGTGGACTCAGGAGGCCAGGCCTAGTGGGCAGAGTGAATCGTCCTGGTAAATTTTGCCCCTGTGAGGCAGTTGTGGGGAGTCTGAAGGTCCCTCTGCCTTCCCACTGTTGCCTAAGTCTCCTCCTCCCCTGGATCCAAGCAATCGGAGGCTCCTTCATCTTGCATGTCCTTGCTTCTCCCTCTTCATACCTCTTCTGGTCCTGGGAGACCAGGGAGGAGGGGAAGTAGTCTCAGCAGGAAGGGGGGGGGGGACAACGACAACAGCCCAGCTTTCTCACCGGCCTGACTTACCGTATTTTTCGCTCGATGGGACGCACTTTTCCCCCTCCAAAAATGAAGGGGAAATGTGTGTGCGTCCTATGGGGAGAATGCAGGCTTTCACTGAAGCCTGGAGAGCGAGAGGCGTCGGTGCGCACGGACCCCTCTCGCTCTCCAGGCTTCAGGCAGCTATCCGCAAGCCTTCGGAGCACGGTGGGTGTTCCCGCCAGGCTCCGAAGGCTTGCGGATAGCAGCCTGTTCTGGGGGTGAAGCTCAGGCTTCCCCGGCCAACAGCCCCGCAAGCGGCGGCGAGGTTGCGCGCAATCTCGCCGCCGCTCCTGGACCTGTTCTGGGGGCTGGGGTCGGGGAAGCTCGGGCTTCCCCAGCCCCGCGGCTAAAAATGAAGCCGCGTGCAGCCTCTCCCGGCTGGAGAGGTTGCGCGTGGCTAAAGAGGAAGCCAAGACAGCAGCGGGATGGATCCCGCTCGCTGTCTTGCCTTCTTTGCTCTTTGGGGCTAGGGAAATAAAAAAAATAATTCTTTATTTCCCCCCCTAAAAACTAGGTGCGCCCTATGGAGCGAAAAATACGGTATCTCTGCCTCTCGCCCTCCATTGCTTCAGCTTCTGCCCCGAGTCTGGACTTCTCTCTGCCACTGACTCCCCCCGCTTCTTAAACCCTGTTGTCTCTTCAGCTTCCGACACCTCCTCCTCCCCGTCTTCAACCTCTTACCACTCATGGTCCTCCCACCACCCACCCCCAGGCTCTGCGCCTTCTTCCCCTGGGCAAGATAAAGTGACTGACAAATTTAATAATAATAATAATAATAATAATAAATGCCAAGAAGCAGACCCAGGCATAAACGAGAACATGTGCATCAAAAACGTGACCCAGAACTCTGACCTACTGGAGTATCACGTGACTCAGCTGGGTCATCAGCTGACTTAACTGACCCTCGTGTGACTCAGTCATTTTGTACAACATCATGTGAGGAAGCTCTGGGTGTGAACAGAGCCGATAATGGGAAGTTCTAGTCAACGCTGCATTGGGCCATAGAGTTGCCGGCTGCAGGCTAGAATTAAGGGCCTGGGCAGTTGTCACTGAGCTCCTACCGCTGCCCAAGAAGTCTTCAAAGCAAGCAAGGCCAACCCTACCATTAGGCAGAATGAGGTGATGACCTCAGACAGCAGATGCCGAGGGGCAGGGGGCAGCGATGAGGTGTTGGGAGCAGTTTGGATAAAAGAATCAATGATTTTAAAAAAATAAAATGCTTTTGGAGGAAAAACCTTTCTAAAGATAGTTTTCTATTTCAGTTACATTATAGTCCAAAGGCTATTCATCAGGAAATAAGGATTTGTTTTAAGTTTTTCATGTGCTAAAACTCAGTCTAATTTTTTAAAAAATTGTTTAACCACATCAGTTAACAAACATGGACACATATGCTATAATGCTATTGTTTTAGTTAAATAAATTGTTATTGATGAAATGATTATTTTTCTCCTTCCAATAAAGTACTGCAGAAAAGTTTCCAAATATAAACAGTTAACTTATTAAACCTCACAATAATTTCATAATTATCTATGTATTTCTAATAGTATAACCAAATCAGTAACTTTTGATATAACTGCAAAAACTACTCTGAAAATTTATTATTCCAAAAATGAAACCTTCATCTGGTTGTAAATATTAAGATTATACCAGCAAGAATGAGTCTTTCTGTAAAAAGATGATTTAAATCAAGTCTTACGGACTAGTGCTTTAAATTGTGATTTAAATCGATTTGATTTAAATCAAATCCACCCTGGTTGGGAGTACAGAGCTGTGTGTACCCCATGGCCAACGCTGTACCTCCTGAGCTAGCCGAGTGCCCTCAGGTGAGAAGGAGGATTTTGCTCCATTCCAGTGTTGAGGTAACTACCAGTCCAGCTACCTACTGCACACAGATTACATTGATATCCCACCAAGGAGCTCAAGGTGGCCTACATGGTCTCCCCACTTTACCACCACAACAACCCTGAGAGGTAGGTTGGCTGAGAAAGAGTGACTGGCCCAAGGTCACCCGATGAGCTTCATGGCCGAGTGTGGATCTGAACCCTGGTCTCCCGGGCCCAAGTCCAACAGTCTGACCACTACGCCACACTGGAATGGCGCAGGGCATGGGGATGTCTGCTCACCCTTCACCTCAGGCAGCAAAATACATTGGGCTAGACCAGTTGCCACAACTACCACCAGGCCTAGCATCAGAAAATATGAATCCCATTCCCCAGTCCCTCTTCAGAAAAAGCATTGCTATGTTGCTGTTTTAATTTAAAAACAAAATAAAAAACTTTGCATTTTATAGGTAAAGGGACCCCTGACCATTAGGTCCAGTCGTGACCGACTCTCGGGTGGCGGCGCTCATCTCGCTTTATTGGCCAAGGGAGCCATTTTTTTTAATTCTGTATTTGCAGTCCAACCCTGAGGGGATCCTTGGCTGAAAGGTAGCATGACTGCAGGGGGTTAGACTAGATGAACCTTGGGGTCCCTTCCAAACTTTAGAATTCTATGACATAATATGCAATAGCTACCCATACTGAGTTTTAGAAAGGCTCTGCCTGCCTGAAGCAAGTGCCTCTTGTAAAGCTGGCCAGGTTAGGAGGTTTGGGGGTGGGTGCGCAGGTGGGTCTGCTGCTGCTGCCCTGTTCTGCAGCATGTCCTCATCACTTTATTGCCACAGAAGTCCAAAATAGAGTCAAATTGGCAGCCGCAATCAGGAACTGAAATTTATGTGTCCCTGCAACCGAAATGGAAACTTTTGGTCTGTAGCTTCTGTGACTGACTGACTGACACACACACACACACACACACAGAGAGAGAGAGAGAGAGAGAGAGAGAGAGAGAGAGAGAGATGAAACGAAACTTTCATGAAACAAAACTTTCAGGGAGGAAGAAAAGGAGGAAGAACAAGCAGATTCCATAAAATGCATGAGCTAGAGAGAGATCAAGGCGCTAATTTTCAAGTTAGAAAGCACAGCATCTGAATTGACATGGGTTTCACCTGAACTTAAGCCTGCTCTGCACTCCAGTTCCAAAGTCAACTTCTACCCTTTCCAGCCTATAAAATGAACTTAGCCGCCAGGAATACAAAATCACAGTTCCCACCTCTATCCTCCGATTCACCTGATGCCAGCTTCATTTACCCACAAAAAGCAGTTAACCGCAATAAAGCAGGAAGACCATTCCTTTCTCCAGAATCAGTAGTTTAGGAATTGTAGAATTAGGTGTTAAGTCTGCGATTTACAGATCTAAAGATTTCTCAGATCAGCTTGCTAGCAGGAGGAGTCAATTAGCCAAAGGGACAACTAGGGTACTTTGCTAAACCTGAGGACAGCTCGTATCTAAAGTGTGCACAATGCAAGACTGTAGATTTGAGCAACAGCGGCTTGGGAGAAATATGCACTTCAATCTGGAGTAGCCAATCCAGACCAGCTAAACTTCATACTCATCATGGTGGGACACCCCAATCTCTTGGCTTCAGAAATCTGATGGGGTTTGCAAGAGAAGCCTGGTTTCTTCAGCAGTTGCTCCATAAAGGAGTCATGATGTAAGGATAGGAGTCGTAACTCCCATCAGCCAAGTTCCACAACGGCTGGAGGTCTAGGGTTTTCCCCCTGTCCCAGCTATAGAGGAACAGAAAGGATGACAGAAAGAAAACACCGTGTGCATTCAGAACCAGCTGACCTTGACGAGGCTGAACCTAGTTCCTTCTTTGCAATTACTAGTTCCCCAATTCACCTGCAGGTGTTGATGAATGGTTTTAAATGCATGTTCATCATGTGGCACCTGAAACAGGGTAATCAAATATCCACACCATGTGAAAACCGTCCTCTGTGAATGCCTGTGCAAAAATCTTTTTGTCCACCTGCAAGAAC